CAAATAGCATATAAAATAACCCGTAGCAGATCTATACAGGTGGAGCTGGGGAAGGTGGAGGGTTTCAGAGAATTCTGAAAGCGTGCTGCAGGAATCTCAAGTGAATGCTAGCCAGCCATATACATGCAAGGCAGTAAGTTCATTGGCTGCATATGCAGCATGAACCAATCAGCTTGTGTCAAGTCGTTTAACTCTCTGAATATCATCAGTTACGTTAACACCCCGTCAGAATGCGCCATCTAGAGTTTCATGACCGAACTATATATATATATATATATATATATATATATGTGTGTGGAATTGTACAGGTCAAATTATACCTTTTGCAGCAATATGACATTGCTGTTCCTCAATGTCATGCTATACAGTCTTAAAAATGTATGGAGCACAAAAGGACAGGGTGGGGGAAAAAAATTAAATGTTCTCTTGCAAAACGTGTGTGATGGAAATAATATGAGGTGGGAAGACAAGCTGTATTTCAGTGCTTTTGTGAACAAGTGCAAAGTTTTGTGAGCAAACACAAAAGCATTGAAATCTAATGTTTTCCTCCCATCTCACATTTTTTTTTCCATCAATATGTCCCTCCATAGGCATGCTAAAAAACCCTACAGAATATACTTACTCTCTAAACATTTATTAACATTTTCTTGAATTGTATTAACATATAGATATAAATATTCGCATTGAATGTTTTAGTATTGAAACACATTTGTCTGCACATATGCCAGAAGTCTTGTTAAATGTGTGAGACGGCTTATAATAGGAGACAAAACAGCTGACAGTTCCCAGTTTCAAATCTGCCAGTATTCTTAATGAATATGTAAAAAACAAAAAAACAGCTGTTAAGAGTTTTAATGGCATTTTAAAGTACAGGGAGCGTGCTGTAATATATTTTCTACATTTTCTCACATTTGTTAGAACATCTCTCTAATTTAACTGCTAATGAGTAAAGAGCGATAATAACAAAGAACTTTTAGAACAAAGACTTCGTTAATAGGTTTTCTGTCTTAACCCGTTTATCTGTTTTCGTAAATGCTGTGCAAGCACATTGCAGGACAGGTGAGTGATGCAGTAAAACCTGTAAACTGCCTCACTGCTGACAGCTCACCCTACAATGTGTCCTTGCTGTTGGTCCAATTTATGGCAAGCACTGCTTTAACTTCCCTCTTCATTGGTTTAATAACTTGCAGGAGAGTTTTAAAAGGAACTTTTAAGAGAAATGTAAAATGGATTCGCTTACTTGTCACTTTTTTTCTATAGTACAAGACCAGGATAAGCACTGCCAGCAGAATGATCGTACACACCGACACTATCACAGCGATCACAACTGTGTAGTCCTGTGGAGTATTCGGTGCCACTGCAAAACACATTTGTACATGTATGGCCATTTTATATGGACAAAATTGACCCAGTGCATTTATTCAGTATATTGTAGCTATGAGAGAAATTATTTACAGCCCACTGTAATTACTGTCGTTTATATCATAACATTTTGATTGTAAAACACCTCATGCTTATTAGTTTATGTGCATGAGAGCTCATCAATATCCATTCATTCTTACCTACAGTCAGCTTGAGACTGCTGCTCTGGTGGGCTCGAGCGGCAGACACAGATGCCCAACACTCCACCATGGTGCTCGTCTCTGCTTTCATCTGAAGCACACTGGTGGAGCTGAAAAGGCCATTGGGGTCCTGAAGACTGCTGGTGTTGTAGTTGCCTCTGTCCACAGTGGTGCCGTTGACCACCCAGGACACTGAAGGGTCCGGATACCAGCCACTCGCTTGGCAATGGAAGATAACAAGCATCCCCTCTTGAACTGACTGATCACTCTCCAAAATCCTGACATTTCCTTTTTCTAGATTTTAAATACAAGACAAAAGGATTTTGAGTTCTATTTCCTCAACAGGTTGAAATATTTCAAATACTATTATCTTACAAATGTTATTATGTTTGTGTGCACTCTGATGGAAAAAAAAAAATTATGAGGAAAAAATACATTTCAGTGCTTTTACATTTGCTCGCAAAACTAACCCATTATTTAGTACTATAGTGATATATTATTTCCATCAGACGTTTCGCAAGAACCACAAAGCTTGCAGGTAAACACAACATTCTCGAGGTATGCATAACTTTTGTGAGAGAATTTTTGCACTCTGGCCCAAAAATGTATTTGGGAACTCGTGGCACACCTAAATAATTGTTCATTTTATTGCATTAAATAACAAAACATCAACACTCTGAAAATGTCTGTAAAAACAAGGCACAGTGTTTATATGAAAGATTTTTCCATTTTCAATATTGATTTTTCACAGGTGTTTTTTCACCCCCTTTTTTAATTATGCATTGTATTGTGTTGTCTATTTTAGGGTTTAAGGAAATGTCTGTAAACTTAATTAATTTTTTTTTTTTTTTAATCTAAAATTTAAAAAAAAAAAAGTCATATGTGTTTTGTTTTTGTTGTTGTTATGTATATATTTTCTGTTATGTATCATATTTGATGCATCCAGCTTTTATGGCTCATATAAAAGTGAAAGTGAAAGTGACGTGACATGTGGCCAAGTATGGTGACCCATACTCGGAATTAGTGCTCTGCATTTAACCCATCCAAAGTGCACACAAACAGCAGTGAACACACACACACCGTGAACACACACCCGGAGCAGTGGGCAGCCATTTATGCTGCGGCGCCCGGGGAGCAGTTGGGGGTTCGGTGCCTTGCTCAAGGGCACCTCAGTCGTGGTATTGAAGGTGGGAGAGAGCGCTGTACATATAGTCTTAATAGCAGTATAACAGACATGCAGATATATACATACAGATATCAGTTGTCACTCTATAGCTCGCATAGTACAATGTTTACACTATAGTAAATATATAAAGCAATACAATGCAATACAAACAAATGTTCCTCAAAAGCCTATTGTATCATATTTGATACTCACATTTGAACATGATTCTTCTAGAAAGTGACATATGCTTAATCAAGTGAACCTAAGTTGCTTCAGTCCAGTAGCCTAAATGTTCAAATGTTTCTAAAAATATTTTTTGAAATATTTTTAAAAGTTACTTTTATGTTTAGTTTATAAAAATCATTAATTATTTGACAGCAAAAAGACATGTGCCACATCTTGAAGAAGGGCTTTTTTTTTTTATTAAAAAAAAAAGTGTTTTTTTTTTTGTTAAATGTTTTGCTTGGGAATCATTCTTCTGCTATTTTTTTAATTAATGTCACTTGGTTTGATGTTTTGTTAAATATTGCAGTGCGGCTCAGGTGTTAAATACTTTTTGGAGCCACTGTATATGTGCGTTTCTTTCCACTAAAAGCAGACATGATTGTATTCTTTTTTAAATGATTGATGGTTCATAATTGACTGGTTGATGTCTGACTGGTAAATGTGTGACAGCTAAATTGTCTCTTTTAAAAGCCCACATTATGGGTTTTTTTATATACCCTGGAAAGAGAAACAAAAGGTACAGCAGTGGATTGTTATAGACAGCTGCATAATTAGTTGAAATTTTCGCTTTCTCTTAGTGAATTGCATGGCCACAGCAATTCATTTGTAAAGTCTTTACTGTGTAAGGTTACTGATTGTCTTATAATGTTGGCTACCACATAAGTCATGCCATAAACCTTAGAGTCTTAGTTTAAAAAATATATATATATATGTAAATATATATACACTGTATATATAAGATCACATATACTAATAGCATCAATATGATTTGAGGCATTATTCCAACTACTTTTTAAAATCTTAAAATGAAGAAAATTATATATATATATATATATATATATACTACAAAAATATAAACACACTATAAAATGATCATAAATTTAATAAATTTTATATTTGTATTGTGTGAGAAACAAGCATTTAGAACAGAAAAGTCTATAGTTATTTAATCATTGATCTATATCTACAACCTCAGTAGCTACTGTAACTGTGAAATCTTTCTAAAAATGTACAATTTGCTGAATAAGTCACAACAAAGGTTTCATGTCAAATATCAAATACAGCTCCATCATTTTGGACTACTTTTGCTTTTAGCCATTTTTGGGTTAAATTATTGTGATTAAATTCTGTGTGTTTTTCTTTTTAAGGTGTGTGTGTGTGTGTGTGTGTGTGTGTGTGTGTGTGTCCCACCCAGCACCAGATGTCATTGTGTGTGTGTGTATGTGTGTGTGCTATATATAATATATGTATATTAATTTTTCTGTCTGTTTTCTTTTTTATATTGTTGATATTGTGCTTATGTTTAGGTTTGGGGCTAGGGTTAAGGGATCTAAAATATATCTACAAAATACTAAATGATATAACAAATTGATTCTACAAAATGGTATACAGGATTTGTAAATATTTTAAAGATTCTAGCAGTAAATACGTAATACTGCTTTTGTTTTAGATGTTGCCAATATTGTATGTTTCAGCATCTACCCAAACATTCATAAAAGTATGTTTTTGTACCTTACGTGTAAATACATATCAACAATGACACCAGGCTGATCAGCACAAACAGTATGTGAGTTATGAGTCAAAGTAAGATATACTCTTAGAATACAGATTGAGTATTAAATACTGTATTTTTTGGTGATAACAATAAGAGTTACATAAATATCGTCCGCTAAGCCTGTGTCTGGTCCTGACAGTGTAATTTGAAAGCAGAGCAGCTCTTCCCTTGTTAGCTGGGTGATCTTTTTTCCAGCAGGAGGGCCAGGCAGGGAAAATTACTGTGTATGAGACAGCATTTAATCTGGAAGAAGTATGGCTGCCCATGCCCCTAATGAAAAGCTTTGTGAGCAATCCTGTGTCCGAAAGGCTGACACACGTTTAGCCTTTCCTGGTTTACATCCTAAGTCTGATTCTCTTGCCAAGCTAATTAATTGAGGAAAGCCATACAGAAAGTAAATATGGATCAGAGACAAGCTACGTCCCAGTTCACATACTATCCATCCTAAATACTATTCACAATTACTATTCAAAGGGGTCATAGGATGCCCATTTTCCACAAGTTGATATGATTCTTTAGGGTCTTAATGAAAAGTCTGTAACATAGTTTGGTTAAAATTTCTCAATGATAGTGTAAAAAACACCTTTTTTACCCTGTCAAAAACAGCTCTTTTCAGATCAAGCCGTTTTTGTAGCATTTTCCTTTAAATGTTAATGAGCTCTGCTGACCCCGCCCCTCTCTTCCGAGCCGCTCTCAGAGAGACT